TAATATGCATTACAATAGTAGGGTCGTGGGTTCGAATCCTATATATGAATGACTTATGAAAGTAAGGTCTATGATTCAAAAGCAATACTATAGAAGGTCTCTATGATTAATATGCATTACAATAGTAGGGTCGTGGGTTCGAATCCTATATATGCATGACTTATGAAAGTAAGGTCTATGATACAAAAGCAATATTATAGGAGGTCTCCTTGATGCATAAGCATTGTGTGGGGTGGTCGGGTGACCGACTGCTCCTAGTACTGTTGCAAAATGACTAGTCCTTATTAGGGACTTGAAAAGGAATATTATGGTGGCGTGTGTGCTGCTTCACGAGCAATTGGTCCGAGGTAAACTTGGACTCGCTAACCGATGTGTCCTAGACATATCATCTTAGTGCCGGTGGTAAGCGGGTTTGTTGTAGCAATACGGCTTTCCCGTGGACATCGCACACCCATACCGTTTGTGGGCGATATCGTTGCGCATAGCGATGTGTCGTCTATCTTTCGGATTGGGATGATGAGTGTGTTTGGTAGCACTTTTAATTGTAACAGGCATACTCAACTTAATGTCTTAGTGCATTAGCGCTATGATACCTGGAGTTTTGTTCATTGGCGTTTTAGTAGCGTGCTACTATGATACGTTGGTGATATTTTTTATATAACAACAATAAAAACTATGTTACCAAAGTCGATAGGGATCATGTTGGGTGTGTTGTGAGGGGGCGCCATCCGTATGATAGTTGCATTGATGCTTACTGCTACTTGCGGTATTGCGTCTTGTGATGGATCTGCGGGTGTGCTGCGCCTGATTCGACGCTCTCTTGTGGTTCTGGTCGATTAAGGTATACGGGTGGTGATGTCTGCTGGGATGTATGGGGGACCTTGGAATGGTGTAAGCCCGACGATAGTCGTATTGATGCTTGTTGCGTTCTGCAGCATTGCGTCTCTGCGATGGTTGTTTGGTGGGACGCTATTCTCAATGGCGCTCTCTGCGTCTTGGTTTGACTCACACCTAAGTAGCTTTGCCCAAGTCGGGTCCCTTCATTGCGGGGCTGCAGACTGTCTGCCCTCCACGATTTTTTATATAACAACATAATATTATATCTCTGTAACTTTCCCACCTTTGAATGATTGAAGGCAACTTGTTGGTGGGTGAGACAAACATGATCGAAAATGCATTTACTCAACGTCAGTGACACAAACCCTTTCTGATGGCGAATTATTACTCTTATCTTATAACTGCCTTTTGGCTATATCTGCCGTTGTATTGGTTGGTGGAGCATATGTGTCGACCTCATGCGGGTGGTAGCTGGCGGGAGGATCTGAGGGAGACTCTCAAGGCTGCGGCCGAAAGCCCCACAACGTGGGACCCCATTCCCTTGAGGTGAGCAGTAGACTCATGACACGTTCTGCGGCTAGTAGCCGTGCTGATCATGCAATTGGTGGTGATGCCATACACTTACATCACGTCTGCAGGAGCGGCGGTCTGGCAGGTGGTGGCGCTCACGGAGGGTTTACGGCCAGTGTGCCTATTTGCCTAAACCGTGTGACGTACATTCACTGTGGCTGGATTCGTTCGTATTCTGTATGGCGTTTACACGCTTTGACATGCGCGACTTCGGTCGATGTTTGTGCTTACGCACTAACAAGGGGCCAAGCCTCTTTTACTGGTTCGCCAGTTATTTTGCTGTGGACTACGGTCCAGTTCCCGAATTAGCGTTCCCTTCGGGGGGAGTGCATCAAAATGGTTGGCACTCACCGTGCACGGCGTGTGTGGGGCCGTGTACCTCCCCTACATTTTTTTAAATAAATGTTGGAGAGCGAAGCCCTTGTATCGGGTATTTTGTATAAATATATTTTGAGCCTTTTCGGAGCGGGAAGGGATAATTAATAATGTAAACCTGATGCAAGTGGAATAGGGACGTTTTATGTTATATATATAAAACGTCAGGGCCCCAGGCGAGGATGGAATTACAGCGGAGCTTCCGAAAGCGGGTGGAACACCGGTACTTGAACTCCTTCAGAGGCTCCTCAATTCCATCCTCCATGGTGGCGGACACTACTCCTAAGGCGTGGAGCAGAAGTGCGGTGGTCTTGTTCTTTAAGAAAGGCGACAACGCTCTCTTGAAGAACTACAGACCGATTTCCTTTCTGAGCCGGGTCTGTTTTTGAGATTTTTTGCTGTTTTCGAGAGCCGGTTTCCGAAAAGGATACAGTACCATAGACCACATACATACTCTGCGGCAGATTGTACAGAAGACCGAAGAGTACAATCTGCCACTTTGCCTGGCGTATGTGGACTATGAGAAAGCCTTTGATTCCGTCGAAATTTGGGCGGTGCTACAGTCTCTTCAGCGGTGCCAAGTTGACTGTCGGTATATTGAAGTGCTGAAATGTTTTAATAGTAAGGCTACGGTGGCTATCCGAGTACAGAACCAGAGTTCGAAACCTATCCAACTGCAGAGAGGTGTAAGACAGGGTGACGTTATATCCCTGAAACTCTTTACCGCTGCGTTTGAAGACGTTTTCAAGCTACTGCACTGGAAAGGATACGGTATTAACATCAATGGTGAGTACATCACTCACCTTCGATTTGCCGACCTGAAGGCCGATTGAAGGCCTGTAATGATGATTATCATGAAAACAAGACAATCAATTAAAAACCGCCTTAAAGCACATGTAGCTGATGTAAAGAATCGACGCTTCGGGTTGTCTGCAGTATGTGAACTCGTACAGGATTACCCCGTCACTATATCTGTTTTGATACACCTCGCTAAAGACAACCGTTTCGTTCCAAGTATGAATCGCGAGGCTATTGAAATCAATGAACTTTCTAATTTAAATAGAAAAGATGACTTGGCGCTACTATAAGTTTATACCGTGTAGATTGGAAGAAAAATTAATTATTTTAATCTGTGGGTAACCGCGGTTAACTATGACATCGGGACGTCAATCACCTCAATCCCCCTCATGATTACGGGAGGTGCTGCTGTAAAGGGCAATTAAAAAAAAAACAATATACGCGATAAAATCCGTAAAAACTATTTTATTTAAATGCGTTATATTCGCGTAAGTAAAAGAAATCATTATATCCTTGAAGTATTTTGATTACATTACTTGTTAATTGATTAACATGTGATATTCGCACAAATCTCTCCATATATAAAAATCAATTGCTGTCTATTAGTCTCGCTAAAACTCGAAAATGGCTCAACTGATTTTGAATAAATTTTTTGTGTGTTTTATTGGGTCCTTGGATGGTTTGGATTTATAATAGGACGCGGTAGGTGGCGCTGTAGTCGAGATCCAAAAATCGAAGAGAAGCCGGGGTAAATCGCTAGTTGCGAATAAAAATAAAACTAATTCCTACGGTAATCGACCTTGGGTTGCTGCGTGCTAGTTTAAGGAATGAGATCCCACGACTCTAATTTTTTTGAAAATAAATTATATCCCATGTTACTTTAGCTTTCTATTGGTGTAAAAATAATATTAGTATAGATAATTAATTTTTTTTGTTATTATATTTTACTTATTTTTTTGTTCTTTTAAATTTTGATTATCTTAATTTTTATTAGAAATATTATTATATTATTTGTAAAAAGATAATATCTACAAAACATAAGTCATTAAATATATTAGTTCAGAGCTTCCCTGTAAACGATATTTGATATTGTTTTATTTTATGGCATCAAAATATCCTGGCTATATGAGATAGTTGACCAGCTGATAGGCAAGTGATGATGGTCGCTATAGTTAAATTTTCCGTCAATTCCTTAACACGTTAACTGCCATTAAAAAGTGCACATTTTCCGTTTAGGCCATGGGGGACAAAGTTTTCCATTCAAGCCGCGTCTGACAATGTTTACCGCGCGTCAGGCCTGTGTTCAAAACTCTCTATTGTGACAACGTACAGCAGTATCGAGATAATTCTCTTATAATGTGACCCGCGCGGCCCTCTAGTTTATCCTAAATAGCTTGGTTTTTACAAGGGGGTTTAACTTAGAAATAAATATTGATTTTTCAAACGCTTGAAAAATTTAAATCACTAATAAGGTTTTATGAGATTATAATAAAATAAAATAACGTTTAGCGTTTTTTAGATAAAATAACTGTTTATTAAAATCAAATAAAACAATAGAGCCTCTCTCTCAATGGGAATTAAATTGAACTTATACAATAAAAATAGGAAAACCTCAAAAAGCTTAAATGTAGGCAAGAAAGTAGGTACCTACATAATTCTTTTTCGCTAATGGACTTTTGTGAAACATTCAACACAAAGATAGGGTTCATCAGGATAATTAGCACACAAGGTGCTAATTTTTTTAGTTTTGTTTTTAGCGATGAAACGTCCTTGGGAAGCCACCATATTCTTATAGCATTGTTGGCACGCACGGCGAGTTTTACTTGAAGGTCCTTCCTTTTTCTTCAATTGGTGCATTACTCTTCTCATTCTTTGATTTGATGAAGTATCATCAGTATCGAAACCTACAAAACTCTTCATAACTTATTTTCTAAATTCCAGTACTGATATCTTCTTCTTGGCTACGCTCTGATAAAGAATTAAAGCATTTACCATAGCTGTATTTAAAAGTAAATCTATGCCAAGTTTTTTGTACCATTTGATGCTTTTCCTCAGAGGAGTTTGATATGCTGTCATTTGGTCGGATAAATCAACTGCACCCTTAGCCTTGTTATAATCAAGAACGACTTTAGGCTTAGATGTTTGTTTGTGATGTTTTATAACAGTTTGAAAACGCACAGAATGTTTTGTTGAGAGAACCAATACATCTCGCTTATCCCTTCATCTCAATACAGTGATTCTATCATTGCTCTCTTTTGCTATATATTGCCCTTTCTTCAATTTTGTTGATACAATTTCTTTGAGAAAACGCTTGCGATTCTTTCTCAAAGTACCAACCAAATGCGTCTCATTCTTCTAAAGTTCTCTTTCTAATACAACGCTTGTGTACCAATTGTCAGTATACAGATTATGTCCTTTATTTAGTAAATCATCGCATAGCGCCATAACAACCTTGGTAGGCGTAGTATTAACGTCATCGTTTTGTTTTCCACCATAAATTCTAATTTTGTATGTGTATCCAGGCAAGGTACATAGTTTAAATAACTTAATCCCATACTTATGGCGTTTTTGCTTGTTGTATTGCCGGAATATAATTCGCCCGCGAAAACCACACTTTCATCTATACATAAATCTTCGCCAGGCGTGTACGATTTTTTAAAATTTGCATTCATTACTTCCACCATGTCTCTTACGCGGTGTAAGCGATCGGTAGTATTCTCTTCATCTTCTTGTGAAAAATGAAGCATTGCAAGTAGTAGCTCAAATCTATTGCGAGACATAATGGTTCGCGGAAACTGCTGTCCAATGATTTTGTCTGTGGTCCAGTAATCAGCTACTTTCGGAAGCCTAACTATACCCATGTATAAAATTAGCCCAAAGAATTTTTTCATTTCAATCAGGTTAGTAGGGCACCAGCCGCGAATGCGCGCTGCTTTCGAAGCTTCATTAGACATTGTTATTCTATTCAAGGCGTAGGCATTAGTGCATAAAACAATTTTATTTAAGACCTTGTCTGTCACCATAAGCGCAAAAAAATCAGCTGGGCATTTGTTTGTCATGGCCATGCGTAAGCTGAGCTGCATTCCAGGATAATCAGTAAAAGCAATAATTGTGCGCTGATTACCTTTAGGATCAGTCCACGTTGAAGGCGGCGAACGTCTGTCTAAGTCTTGGATGGCACGATTGGTTTCAGCATCACTGTCTTCGCTATCAGATGGTACGACCCGACGTCGTTTCGAATGAGTAGGCTGAATATTATTTTCTTCGTCGGAACATAAATGGAGACTTCTATTCAACAAATCGAACTCGATGTTATCGATCTGTGTTATATCTTCTTGCGTTATGTCAAAGTCGTCAAAACTATCCATATTGTCCATAACAATTATAGTAAAAAACTTCGTAAACAATCAGTCGAATTCACAACGTCATGTGCACGTCACTAATCGGAAATCACGACTGCGAGCGCAACGCGACACGAGCGGCGGATGCGCGGGAAGTGCGTCGCGGGCGGCGATGGGGCGGCAACATGACCGCGCGGCTCTATTTAACGGATTTTCGATATTACGTCCGCTGTGGCCATGGGGGTCAATGTTGTGCGATGCGTAATAACTAATAATATAGGGTCAAAATCATTGTTTATTAATTATAACACGTTATTTAGGTATATAATGTGGCTAAATAATGAATAAAAACAATCTGTGAAAAATGATAAAAATGAGGATTTTTATTTAGCTTGAAAGCATCGCACAACATTGACCGCGTTGGCAGTGAACGTGTTAATAAGTAGCCTCATCTCATTGCACATGCTCAGGGGGCTTAAATTTCTCAAAAGCATGATTGGTGTTCCGATTTTTAATTTTTTTTTATTTTAAAATTTTGGAACAGACATAATCAACAAAGAACAGAAATAAACTTAACAAAACACAATAATAAATTTAATAATGGAAAGTAGTAGTAAAATCACTAAGCTAATAAAAACTCAGCTTCAGAGTACAACAATACAAAACGGCAGGTAAATCCTTCAAAAACGTAGTGAATATATGTATACTCTTTGGGTACTTCATACAAGGCGCTAAGCGCTGGCATAGATTATATACATATAAACCATGTAACAAAAACCTTGTCGTTCCTGTTAAACTTTTTTCGAGCCCTGTCTTCGTGAACGGGGTTCACTTAGCTTATAAGGCACTACCAACAGCTTTCAATTGCTCTAGTGAATATTCATTCTTCCAAAAGACACCTAAAAGAACTAAGTTACTAAACAAACACAACGTAAATAAGGGTCCTAACTAAGACGATCACGCTAAAATATTAAAACCGGCCTATTAATAAAACTTTTGAAAGATCATTTAGAAAGTTAAAAAAATATTTTATTTATATCACATATATATAAGTTTTATTATAAAGGGGAACTAATTATATTCAATATCATACATATTTTTATTTTCATATAGAGGGGGGGAGATCGTTACACTACCCATAATATGTATTTAAAATTTTTACAGTATTCAGACTCTACATAGAAACAGGAGGACCCAGCGTATTAAAAATATATTGTGGAAATCCACTGAGCTTAAGCACGACTTATCCATGGAACATTCGACTTAGTTTCGTAGAGTGCCTTTTAATTTGTTAAATTGAAAAGAAACATCGCATTGTTTGGATAAAATTAAGTTTGTTTAAGGAACCCGCTCGCTAGGATCCTCAAGATCCTTCCAAATAAGAGAACGGAATAAATCGTACTCCTTGCGAAATGGATGGGATGTGGGAATTTTGATCGGTTTCGTTACTCCAAAGTTTCACTTCTAGTACGTATTTGTATACGTGTAACGAATGATGTTTATAAAACCTTTGCGGAAAAACAATATGATATAATAATAGCTTTATTAGCTTATTGATCTTTTTAATTCGCTTTTATTTCCTTTATATGGACGACAAAATTTACATGATTCATTAAAAGGAGTAATAATGAATAATATTTTTCGAGCATTATTTATGTGTGTAGAAACATAACTAAATCTCGTATCGTGTAATAGTATATTCATACTGGTGAGTGAATTCAATTTATACGTAAATAATTAGTAAGTGCTTTATTCCTGTGAACCTAAATTTATCACTAAGTTATATCGATATTTTTAAAAGGTAAGTCCTTAGGTTGATGTTTAAAACTTTCAAATCTTTTTAGCTTAAAAATTGTTCGAAGTTTATAAAATTAATAAAATGAAAATAAAATTTAAATTCTTTTATTACTATGATCTTTTTATAAATAAGAACGTTAGGTATTCCTTTACGAGAAGCTAAAATGCGAGTCGATAAAACCACTTTGAAACATTTGATAAAGAATTTGTTACACACCAAATGAAGACCTAAAGATGAGTTATTTATAATTTGATTCTTATTTTGTGAAATCCAACCTGTTCCTCTTTTTTATAGAATAACGGTGACAAACGAGCACACAGTCCACCTGATGGTAGGTAGATGCTATGGCCCATAGCCAACTAAATTTATTTCGGACTAAGAATCAAAATGCAGATGCGTTGTAACCCATGAGGACTAAGATGGAGTGACTCGTTTCTAGTAAAAAGGGTCTCCGGTTCTTTACACTCACAATATGTAACATAGCAGCCTTAAGCTGCCATTTTACGCTGGTATTCTGTGAGAGCGTGGTCCTGCTCCGGTCGAACCTACCCAATCGTACTACAAATAATATAGCTGCAGCGAGGTTAAGTGTAAATGTCTATGGGCCACAGCATCCACTTACCATCAGATGGACTGTGTGCTCATTTGTCACCCTTATGCTATAAAAAAAAACTTTTATAATGCAATATTAATTTTACTGCTTGTGTTAATAATTATGCAGGAGTGTAAAACACTCCTTCCCGTTGCCTTTCAAACATATTATTTTAGATTTCTATCAATAAAAATATTATCAATGACGAAGGACAGTTTGTTTATCATTTTTAGGTTCGGCGATTTTAGAAATGGTTAATACGCCATCTGTCGAAGATGATGAAATTTTAATGTCTGTCAACTTTTAAGACTTATATTTCACGCTATCAAATAGAAATACATTTTAACATTATTTAACAACAGCAACATATTATGTTTTCATAAAAAATACTGCTGTTAAACAATCACCAAAATGGCGGTATAACGATACACGTTCAAGTTTTATCCGATCGTTGATCGTTGACGCACCGGGGACAAAGGAGTACATCGGGGACGGCCGGGCGCGGAATACTCGCTGCAAAAGAGCTAAAGTGGTACGGAATAGAGCCGCTGTGTTGCGAATTTCACGCTAACGTGGTATTTGTAGATATGCCATTATTACATGCAGCAGTAGGACTGCCTGTTTTGATACGTTGGCACTAATGTGTTATTTGTTATAATACCAGAAACAAGGTAATAAAGATGCAGTGATGCGTTAATTCCTAACTTGTAAAAACTTAAACCGGCATTTTGCTACATAATTGTTATGGTATTATTTTCGACCTATATTGAATAAATAAGTTTCTTTCTCTGATTCTATTAACCTATAAAATAGTAACAGTATAATACACTAAAAATGTACACTATATGATATAGCATGTGCTACAAATGAAGCGCTGGTCATGCACTGGTAAAGTCCGCGGCTTTAAGCTCGGTTTCGCGTTGATCGATTTAAGGGTTGCATACTTATTCATGATTGTATAATTTAATTGTTAATTTTACCTTCTTAAAGGTTTAAAAGTTTGAAAAATTTACTTTACTTAAATCATAAAATCAATTTTAAAATTTGCTTCGCTTCACATCAAAGGGGTTGTGATCATTAAGAATGCATTTAACCGATTTTCAATTATATTTTTCTGTTAAATAATATTGAATCCTAGTTCTCAAAGCACTCACGTTTTTCTCTTACAACAAAGGTATTAGGTCAATATTTAGCTTATTGAAATAATACTAGTTTTTACGGAATTTATCGCGTATATCCAGCTTTTTAAATACCCGACGTTTCGAACGCTTTACAGCACTCATGGTCACGGGCAGGACTAAGATGTTCAACGTCCAGATGTCATAGTTAACCGCGGTTACCATAGATTAAAATTTAACTTTTGTTCCGATCTACACAGTATGAACTTATGGTATCTTGAAGTCTTGCATTTGTATGCTTGGGTTGGAATTTAATTTTATTTATTATAGGATCCCAAGCAGATGGTAGCACCCAGCCATCTTCTCTATTGAAATTAGGATGTTTTTTTGATTTCAATAGCCTCGCGAATCATCCTTGGAAGCAATCGGTGTTCTTTAGCGAGGATTTGTGGTCTATCAAATCTGGTGTAGTGACGGGGGCGATCCTGTACGTGTTCACAGACTGCAGATTTCCCGGAGCGTCGATTCTTCACATCAGCTATATGTTCTTTAACGCGGGTTTTAATTGATCTTTTAGTTTGTCCTATGTAGGAGAGACCACATTCACAATCAAGCTTGTACACTCCAGCATCTTGCAGAGGGACATTACACTTGACTGATGGTAAAAACTGACTAATCTTCTTCAGCGGCTTGAAGTATGTTTTGATGGAAGCGCGCTTCAAGATGTAGCCAATCTTGTCAGTGACTCCTCTAACATATGGCTGTAAGGAGGAGAGAAATGAAACGCTTGAGTGTTGACGTAAGACTGCCTATAATAACGTTATTAATAAGTTTAGTACCCGGTTGACCGAGCTTTGCTCGGTATTTTTTAATTCGTGTGTTTTGGAAATTATATTTAGATACAAATTACATACTGATGAAATACGAATAATATTTTTTGATCGTAGCGACATAATAGAAAAAACTGAACTGGTTATTTGAATAAAAAATCATGAGTGCAATTAGTTTAATTTAAATTTTCGTGTTTTTAAAAAATACTAAAAAAACGGGCACGAAAAAATAGATTTTCTCAAAAAAAGAAAGGAACTTAAAAAAAATAAAAAAAATCGGTCGGTCGGTCTGGGCTCGAACTATGGTATTACGATTTTGTGACCGCCCAATATACCAATTAAACTATTTGTAATCATTAATAAACTATCAAAATTTACCTTCTTATTCTAACGATATTGTATCAGTTTTTCATTGCCTAAAAACACGGACAAAAGGACATTTTCTAAAAATAAATCCTAGCTAGATCGATTTATTGCCCCCGAAACTCCCTGAACACAAAATTTTATGAAAATCGTTGATGCCGTTTCCGAGATTCCGATTATATATAACTATATTATATACAACTATATTATATACAACTATAACTACACAAAAATTGCTCGTTTAAAGGTATAGGATAGGATATATTAGATTATACCCAAACATACTGTTACGCGCTCAAGTCGACGGCACTAGCGCCATCTAGTCT